CCCTCTGGGATGGGGCAGCTGCCTCCACCATCCCGCTCTCCCCAAAATCCTGGGGGATGGGGGGCTGCAAGGTGCCTCTCTGTGACATGGGAAGGGGGGGGGGGCACTCACCCGTGCTTGGGGGCTTCTGTAAGGCGTGCGTCCAGGATGCCCCGTCCCAGGGGATGTGCGTGTGCTGGGGGGGTACATCAGGCGCCCCACAAACAAGGTCTCCCCTCTCTCCAGTCTCATCTTTTTGGCTGGTGAAATGAAGGAAGGATTAGAGAGGGGGAAAGCCAGGGTCTTGGGCTTTGGGGGGGCTGCAGAGGCACCTACGAGCACGTTGGCTGAGCCCGAGAGGGCTGGGGGGGTCTCCTGGCTGCTTCACCAGCCCAGCCACGAGCCGTGCCCGGGTACGTCTGCCCCAACCCTGTCCAAAATCTCTGCTGGGAGCGCTGTAGAGCTCTGCGGGGTCTCCCTAGAGCTAAGCTTTCCATTTTACCACCCCAAAAATGTCAACTCAGCAAGTTCTCCTCTCCCAGAGCCCGAGGCCAGACCTGGAGGCGGGAAAAACCCCAGCCGAAATGACCGTCACCGGTGCTGCCTGGGGAGCACGATGCCGAGAGGGGAGCACATCCGGAGGGATGGAATCCAGCCGCTGCACTGCGCCTCGCACCCCAAACCTGCCCAGCCCCCGTGCCTGCCGTGCTGCTGGCGGGGGCTCCCGGCCTCGCTGCCCCTCCATGCCCCTCAAGGGCAGATGCTTCCCCTCAAGGCCAGATGTCCCCTTTAGACCAGGCCAGATGACCCCCCTCAAGGCCAGACCAGATGTTGCCCCTCGAAGCCAGATGTTCCCCTTGAGACCAGACCAGACGATGTTCCCCTTCAGACCAGACCAGGAGATGTTCCCCTTCAGACCAGACCCCCCGGGGTGAAGGCAGCGAGGGTTAAAGGGGCAGCGAACGGGGGCGAGGTGCCCAAGTGCCCCCTTCCCGGCATCCCACCACCATTCAGCCACCCCCAAAACCCCTTGGCCATTTCAACCGGGGCCAAGCCCCAGCAAGCCGGGCTTTGCCCACCGTGGCGAGCAGGACCCGGCGTGGCTGGGGCATCCCTCGTCCACTGGGCAAATGTGCGTGGGCTGGGGCTGCGGGGGGGGGCCAAATACCGGTTTGCTGCCTTCAGCCCTGTTCTGGGAGCGAACGGCATCACTCCCTTGGGGTCCTGCGGGCGCGGGGGAGCGCGGGGGAGATCCCTTTGCAGGGCAGCGCCGACGCTGCTGCGGTGTCATCGCATGGGCGCCACCGGCGCGAAAGCGAGTGCTGCTGAGGTGCG